TTACAGCTCACAGCAACCTCCAACTCCTGGGCTCAAGCTAGTCTCCTGCCTCCGCCTCCCAAGTAGCTGGGACCACAGGCACCCGCCACAACGCCCGGCTATTTTTTTTTGGTTGCAGCTGTCGTCGTTTGGCGGATTCGAACCCACCACCTTAGGTGTACATGGCTGGTGCCTTAGCCGGTTGAGCTATAGGCGCCGAGCCTTCCCTGTGTTTTTTAAGGGAAAGGAAGAACCTCACCTTCCCTAACCAAGCCAGTTGGTTGTACCCTAAACTGCCAGGAGGTTGTGTATATTGGGGGAAACCTGAACTTGGATCCTATCTGTGTGGTGTGGGATGTCTAAGGGTCCTGGGGAAATGGGGAAGAGAAGATGATGGTGGAGGGCTCAGTGGCTCAGCAGAGCTGAATCCCCAGCTCAGCTCCCATCTTTTCCTTGTGCAAGCCCAAGAACCTACCCTGAAACGCCAACAAGAGCAGAATGCTAGGGTTCCTCCACCCCAGAGGACACTGATGGTTAAGAGAAGGTATCCAGACCGGGTACAGTGGGTCACACGTGTAATCTTAGCACTTTTTTGGAGGCCAAGGCAGGTGGATCACATGAGCTCAGGAGTTCAAGACCAGCCTGAGCAAGAAAGGCCTTGTCTCTACTGGAAGTAGAAACTAGTAGTGGCACACACCTGTAGTCCCAGCTACTTGGGAGGCTGAGGCAAGAGGATTGATTGCTCAAGCCCAAGAGTTTGGAGGTTGCTGTGAGCTATGATGCCACGGCACTACCCAGGGTGACAGTAAGAAAAAAAGCTTCTGTGAAAGTGACTACAAACAGCCTAGGCCAGCAGTTCTCAACCTGTGGGTTGTGACCCCTTTGTAACATTGAAAATACATCGTGGCATTAGGAAGGTTGAGAACTGCTGGCCTGGCCTAGGCCCTCTTTTTCTGCCACATCTGTATCTTGTCCTATCACATGATAGTAATTCATCCCTAATTCCCAATGAGGCACAGGGAGCTGTTGTGCCAGCCAGGGGCCCTTTATTCCCACCTGCTGCTCACTGAGGTTCTCATGATTACCTGAGTCCTGTGCCTTCCTTGGCTATCCTCAAGTGCAAGTAGTACAGCTCAAGGGGAGTAAACCTGGTCTCTGGGTCACCCTTTCAGCTGCTACCTGCTGAGGGCTTGCTATAGAGACAAAGGCATTTTTGTTAGAAGGGTGGGAACACAGAAGAGATCATGATCTTCAGCTTGAAAGTTAAGGGGAGATTCTAACAGCAGAAGGGGAAAGGCTGTACTAAGTAGAGGGAACAAAGGGGAAAGGTGCATTGACCTAAAGTCATACACGTCATGGAAATTGCATGTTAAATGGGATCGGATACAGCTGGCAAGAGTGTGTAGGTACCCTAAAGCCACATTGTCTGCTGAGGAGCTTGGACTTTGAGTAGTGGGGAGATAAAACAGGATGATTTACATAGAATACAGGTGGGGAGGTGAAAACAGGCTAGGGGAACAAACTACCCATTCCCTATGGCAGCACTTCTCAACCTGTGTGTGGCTATTAAAGGACTGTGGCATTAGGAGGGTTGAGAACCACTGCCCTATGGCCTCAAACCCTGTCAAGAGCCAAGCTACCAGCCCTCCTAAGTCCTAATGGCAGCACCCATTCCATTCAGGCTTTCTGAGGTGTCAGTTTCAGCTAGCTTTCCTACCCCAGCAGCTGAGCAGCACCCAAATGGGCTTTCTAAGTGGGGTAGGCCTGGGATGGAGGCAAGGAAGCAAGGAAGCCTGACGGGCTGGGGCTGGAGCCTATCCTGGCCTTTGTTCGCCCTTTCTTCCAATGAGCTGTCCTATCATCCTCTGTACCCCAGCTGTCTCATTGACTGGGGAATGTGAGAAGGGCTGGGGTGCCCAAGCCTTTATTCTCTTGGGTTCTGGAAGTCAAGCACTCACCTCTCCCTCACCTCATATAAAACACTCCTACCCACAGCACTACCACAGTGGGAGTGCCACCAACCACCAGTCTCTTAACTAGAAATCACTGCGTGTCCAATTTCTGGTACTCTGTCTCCCACTTTTTAGCTGGATGTATGAAGAGAGGTAATCCAGGTGCCACCTGGCTCTCCTGTACTGTTATAAATAGGTAGCTACACAGGCTCAGCAGAGGTCAGGGTGGAGGCTGGTCACCTACTTCTGCCTGGATGGGCTCTCCCACCTGTACCATACCCTGGCTAGTGACCCAAAGCAGCACACTTAGGGGTTCTAGCTGACCACATGACCCAGGGAGGCATTGTGACCCCTGAGGATGAAGAAGTTTGGGACTAGTGATGGTGGCAGCAACCCCCAGTCTCACCATGTAGGGAAGGCAGCTGAGCAGGCCTGGCTCAGGTAACGCCTCTGCGAGGCCTCTTTTTTTTTTTTTTTTTTTTTGAGACAAAGCCTCAAGCCATCACCCTGGGTAGAGTGCCATGGCATCACAGCTCACAGCAACCTCCAACTCCTGGGCTCAAGCGAT